GACTCGTCCTCTGTGCAGAAGTAAACAGAGGACAAGTCTGGCGGGCCAGGTCATGTGACACATCAAACTTATTGGTAATTTCACAAGAAAAACAACGGTGTGCTTGGTTTGAATGTAACTTTATTCTTTCATGAGTTATTTACAAGTTTCTGGCCACGTCTAAAATGTGTTCAGTGTGCTGCCCGTTGTGTTGGATTGTCAATGCAGCCCTCTTCTCCCGCTCTTCACACCGACAGCAACACCGCAGGAGAAAGGCCAGCACAGGCTTCCAGTATCCGTAGTTTCAGGTGCTGCACTTCTAGTATCTTCTCACCATAGACAACTGCCTTCAGATGACCCCAAAGATAAAAGTCTAAGGGGGTCAGATCGGGAGACCTTGGGCATTCAACTGGCCCACGACGACCAATCCACTGTCCAGGAAACTTCATCTAGGAATGCTGGGACTGACACCCATAATGTGGTGGTGCGCCATCTTGCTGGACAAACTCAGGGAATGTGCCAGCTTCAGTGCATAAAGAGGGAAACACATCATCATGTAACTATTTCCAATATCCAGTGGCCGTGAGGTTTCCATTAATGAAGAATGGCCCCACTGTCTTTGGACCTCATGTACCTCACCATACCATCACTTGTGTGTTCCAACAGCCTTGGAGGGATCCATCCAATGTGGGTTAGTGTCAGACCAGTAGCACTGGTTTTGTTTCTTAACTTCACCATTCTCATAAAAGTTAGCCTCATCACTGAACTAAATCTTCTGCGTGAACTGAGAGTCCTGTTCCATTTTTGTTTTGCCCCTATCTGCTACTTCTGCAGTGGCTGGAGTTTGTAAGGGTGCCATTTGTGAGTAGCTAATATCCGCCGAAGGGATGTTTGACTAATGCCACTCTCCAGTGACATGCGGCGAGTGCTACGCCTGGGGCTCTTGCTTAATGAAGCTAGGACAGCCACTGATGTTTCTTCATTAGTGACAGTTTTCATGGCTAATCCAACACCAAACCAGTTTCACAAAACTTAGCAAGCACTTTGCTAACTGTAGCAAGGGAGATGGGTGGTCTTGTAGGGTGTCTTGCATTGAAATCTGCTGCAATGACCCGGTTACTGCGTTCACCAGATATCAACACACTTTCGATCCGCTCCTCACCACGTGTTAGCCTCCGACATGTCAATGGCTGTGGACAAAGAGAAACGTGTAAATAACTCATGAAAGAATAAAGTTACATTCAAACCAAGCACACCATATTTTTTCTTGTGAAATTAACAATAAGTTTGATGTGTCACATGACCCTCTACCTATTGTAAAAACAAAAGTTGGATCCAAGATGGCTGACTTCAAAATGGCCACCGTGGTCACCACCCATGTTGAAAAGTTTGCCCCCTCACGTATACTAATGTGCCACAAGCAGGACGTTAATATCACCAACCAATCCTTTTTACGAAGGCGTATCCATAGAAACGCGACCCCCCCCCCCCCCCAGTTTCAGCTTTGATCATTTTCATTTTGTACAAAATTGGTGATTTTAGAAGCTCTAATGTCAGGTTGACAGTGTCAAATGCAGCCGATAAGGTCCTTCTGACTCCGCCCCTTCCTCCCTGCTCCTCAGCGATTGGCCAGTTCCTGTTCTCAGTGTGATGACAGCGTTCTGTACCGACCAGCCCAGTTTGGGCTGACTCAGCGCCGTGTCAACATCTGGGGGCTCCGCCCACAAACCATGTACATGTTTACCATCCAATCACTGAATGGCATCTCAGCCGTCAGCCAATCAGAGCCAGCCTCCGTCAGGCTCAACGTGACTACCAGCAGAGACGGTAACAGACTACATTACCCAGAATGCTTCCAGTGGTTTTTGAGGTGTCCTAACTGGTACCGGCTCTGTGTAGTCCCTCCCCCAGTTTCAGGTGTGAGGAGAGCAGCAGCCTCAGAGACCAGTCTGTCCCTAGAGTGGACGGTCCCGCTCCTGCAGAACCAGTACCAGATCTTGGACTACGAGCTGCGCTACAGCCAGAGGGCGGCGGAGGAGGTGGGGCAGTGGCAGTACGTGGCCAGCAGGTCTTCTTCTGTGGTTCTGAGCGGGCTGCAGCGGGCCACTCCGTACCAGGTCCAGGTCCGAGCCCGTTCTCAGGTCGGGTACGGCCCGTTCAGCTCCACCAGGACCTTCAGCACGCTGCCCGACGGTACAGGCCAGAAACTGTGTGTGTGTGTGTGTGTGTGTGTGTGTGTGTGTGTGTGTGTGTGTGTGTGTGTAATGTCAGTTTGTCTGTCCTGACAGGAATGTCTCCATCCCAGCTGGCCGTGACCTCTATCCTCGTCTCTATGGTGATACTGCTGTTGGTCGCCGCGGCGATTGTTGGAGTCATCTGTTATCGGTAAGGGGGGGGGGGGGGTGTTCAGGATGCTCCCTCCCTGATCTGCTGTTAGAACAATGGACCAAACTCACCTCAGGTTCACACACACTTTAATTTATGCAGCACTCACACACACACACACACACACACACACACACACACACACACACACACACACACACACACACACACACACACACACACACACACACACACACACGCACACGTGTGTCTATACTGAGCAGACAAAGTTCTGCAGTTGCTTTACCACCTCCCTCCACCAGCAGGCGGCGCCGACGCAGAGGCGTGACGGACAGGACCGGACACTACCAGATGGGTCAGAGTGAGTCCTTAGCCAATCACAGACAAACAGGAGGTTTTGGAGTGTGCAGCTGACTGATGATGATGTTGTTGCTATAGCGATGAAGGTCTACATCGACCCGTTTACCTACGAAGACCCAAATGAGGCTGTGAGGGAGTTCGCCAAGGAGATCGACGCCTCCTTCGTTAAGATAGAGGAAGTGATTGGAGCAGGTAACCCACACCTGTCAGATCGTGTGTGTGTGTGTGTGTGTGTGTGTGTGTGTAGTGTCTGGCTTACTTTCACATGAATGACTTATTGGGGTAATAATTGCGCCACGCGTCACAGCACATCTGGATGAAACCATAACCTACCACAGCTAAGGGGCAGAAGCACACCTGTCGGGTTCAAGTAGCATGGGCACAGGGCATGAGTCATAACGCTGCTGCTGTCCGTTGTGCTGAAACAAATCAGCTTATCGGCGGCATGTCACGGGTAACCATGACACCCGAGACGGAGATCCAGGCACCTGGCTGTGGACCACGCAGCGGCGAGATTAGGAGCAGCAGAGCGATCGGCAAACATAAATAAATGAAAACATTTAAAAAAGTGATCAGGTTCAGCGATTGGTGCGCAGGGTTAGGGTCTATTTCACAACATTTAATGAAAACATTTCATTCAGTTAAGTCTGTTCTGATTGCATGTACCTATTGTATATGAGATCAGTCGTTTGTCTTTATGTCCAACGTTATCTCGTCTTTGGTGTAGAGCCAACTCTGTGTCTGCTGCCTCTTGGCCAGATCCTCCTCCTCAGTCCTCTCATCTGGTTAGATTAGGCTAAATGAACAGAGCCTAAAGGGTTTTAGACAGGTAATGTTGTTCGTATTAAACATCAGCCCACCTGTCGGCTAATCCCGCTGGAACGAGCCGCTCTTCTGTTTAAGGAGATAGTAACCCTAACCCTAACCTCTTTAATCATTATAATAATTATTATTATTATTATACCCAAAGCATAATAATCCATTTCTTGTAATCAAGATACCGTTATAATGAACCAAGTGATCATGCTGTAATGATTATATTAAACAGTGAAAACAATGACTTTATTAATTAGTATCTAATTATTATCATCGTGGCTTGAAGTGCCCTTCTTCAGGGACGGAACAGCAGATACTGGTGTTATGGTCTTGAGCAGACATCGTGGCTCCTTGGGTTTAATCTGTGGATTCAAAGTACTGTTTGACCCGGCTTGACCCAGCTGGGCAAATGTGACCTTTGGCACAAATCTGAGATCCTTCATGCCGTTACAAAATTAAATGTTGGTCTATCTTTTATAACTACAGGATCCTGGAATACTCTGTTTTTCCACAGAATAACATATTTGTCCCGTCAACACAAGTTTAGACTAAATCCAAAGGAAATTCAAATTTCCCAGCTTCCACCGAGCATTCAAACACACCATGTAGGTACAAATCAGTCAGGTGAGAAAAGAGTCTCAAAAGGACTGTTGTACATGTAAACTCATCTGTGTGTAATGTAGTTTTGTCCGTGTGTACCAGGTGGTGTGTGTGTGTCTATTCAATGATTTGTTTGTGTAGGAGCTGAATTTACACACACACACACACACACACACACACACACACACAACACACATCTAGATACACACGCACAGACCTTTTGAGACTTTTTTCTCCCCATGGGTGGTAAAAACAACCTACGCGACACGACTGTGTGTCCATAAGTGGAGTCAAACTTTGGAACCGACTGGGGCTACAGCTCAAGCATTGTCCACATATTTCTACATTTCAACTCAAGTACAAGGAGATGGTTCTGTTACACTGAAACAGCGAGAGCGCTGGTGTTTGACGGTTCTGGGGTTGACATGTTGTGTACAATGTCTCCAGGACTAATACTGATGTTGTCATTTTTTGTAATACATCGAAGTGTGTATAGGAGTATAAGTTGAATAGATTCTAGTGTTGATACGGTGTTGATTGAAGTGATATTGAGATAACTTTGGTGAATATAACATGGGGGTGGGATTAAATAAATTATTGTTCCTCCCACTCCTTTTCAGCAATGCCTGTGTGCATGATTGTTTCTTTTATGTAGTCCAGTTTTGTTTTGTCTGTATGATGTACGTGGTTGCTATGTATAATGTATACTGTATGTATATATGTTATATATTTTTTTAATTTTCTTTTTTATGTCTCAAAACAAACTTAATAATAAATAATCTGATTTTATATACGATAAATCCTCTAATAGAGGCCCGGGCCTGTATTTGACTCAAGCTCATCAAGCTCCAGGCCTTTATTGGAAGGAGGGCCAGTATTAGAGGCAGGCCTCTATTTCTATTTGAGCAAAATGAACTAATGGTTCACTGGAGTTTTTGACAATTACAATTGCGCCCACATTTTCAAAGTTAAACAAATTTCTTTTAACAACGGTAGTTTCTGCTTCAGCCCTCTCCCCCCTCCCCCTGCTTCAGCCCTCTCCCCCCCCCCCCCTCCCCAGCGGCCGCAAACTCACTGATGCGCCTGCAGCCTCTCGGAGTTCCTGCTGCTCTAAACATTAAAATAATTATTTCATTTTCTGTTCCTCACTTCTGATGACCTTCAATGGTGTCTGTTTGTTGCAACCAGCAGGTACAAAAACTAACTTGTTTTTATTTGACTATTTTTCTGTCCTGCCTGTTTATTATCTTCCTGCATCTCCTCTCAATCCTAAAGAAAAACTGCTACCTGGGTTCATATATATTCACCTCATGAGTTACCTTTGAACTAAAGTTCTAAAAGAACTACCGACCGCAAAAACAGCGGAGTGCTCGCTGCTTGCCGGCCGCATCAGTGATCAGTGCGTCACCGGATGACAAGTTGATGCACCCCGCTCCACAGCGAAACACATCAGGCGCAAATAAAAGACAGAAAACATCAAAGGAAATGAACCGACATGAACGATCGCGTGTTAAATAATTTGGCAACACCTGATCGTTACTGTGGCCGTGCTCAGGAGGCAGATCCGACCGCAAAAACAGCGGAGTGCTCCCTGTTTGGCGGCCGCATCAGTGATCAGTGCGTCGGAGGACAAGGTGATGTGCCCCGCTCCACAGCAGCGAAACACATCAGGCGCAAATAAAAGACAGAAAACATCAAAGGAAATGAACCGACATGAACGATAGCGTGTCAGTACCGACTCACTGGCACAGCGCGTCACCCCCCCCCCCCCCCCAGCGCAGGAGCTTGTTACCTGCTGACAGCAGGCTGCTGTCTTTTCCGAGGGCTGCATCTTGCCGGTCATTATCACGTGACAGCGACTAGTCGATGACAGGCATAAAAAGTCACTATAATCTAATCTAATAGTAATCTGATCTAATCTAATCTAATAGTAATCTAATCTTATAGTAATCTAATTTTATAGTAATCTGATCTAATCTAATAGTAATCTAAAATAATCTAATAGTAATCAAATCTAATAGTAATCTAATCTAATAGTTATCTAATTTAATCTAATGTAATTTTATGGTAATCCAATCTAATAGTTATCTAATCTAATCTAATAGTAATCTAATCCAATAGTAATCCAATCTAAAAGTACTCTAATCATATTTCATAGTAATCTAATAGTAATCTAATCTAATCTAATGGTAATCTCATCTAATCTTTATCTAATCTAAAAGTGATCTAATCTAATAGTAATCTAATCTAACAGTAATCTAATCTGATCTAATCTAATAGCAGTTTAATCTAATCTAATAGTAATCTAATCTTATCTAATAGCAATCTAACCTAATAGTAATCAAATCTAATAGTAATCTACTCTAATAGTAATCAAATCTAATAGTAATCTAATCTAATAGTAATCTAATCTAACAGTAATCTAATCTGATCTAATCTAATAGCAGTTTAATCTAATCTAATAGTAATCTAATCTAATAGTAATCTAATCTAATAGTTATCTAATTTAATCTAATGTAATTTTATAGTAATCCAATCTAATAGTTATCTAATCTAATCTAACAGTAATCTAATCCAATAGTAATCCAATCTAAAAGTACTCTAATCATATTTCATAGTAATCTAATAGTAATCTAATCTAATCTAATGGTAATCTCAACTAATCTTTATCTAATCTAAAAGTGATCTAATCTAATAGTTATCTAATTTAACAGTAATCTAATCTGATCTAATCTAATAGCAGTTTAATCTAATCTAATAGTAATCTAATCTAATAGTAATCTAATCTTATCTAATAGCAATCTAACCTAATAGTAATCTAATCTAATAGTAATCTAATCTAATAGTAATCAAATCTAATAGTAATCTAATCTAATAGTAATCTAATCTAACAGTAATCTAATCTGATCTAAACTAATAGCAGTTTAATCTAATCTAATAGTAATCTAATCTTATCTAATAGTAATCTAACCTAATAGTAATCAAATCTAATAGTAATCTAATCTAATAGTAATCAAATCTAATAGTAATCTAATCTGATCTAATCTAATAGTAGTTAAATCTAATTTAATAGTAATCTAATCTGATCGAATCTAATAGTAATCTAATCTGATCTAATCTAGTAGTAGTTCAACCTAATCTAATAGTAATCTCATCTAATCGTTATCTAATCTAAAAGTGATCTAATCTAATAGTAATCTAATATAATAGTAATCTAATCTAATAGCAATCTAATCTACTGTAATCTAATAGTAATCTAATCTAATAGTAATCGAATCTAATAGTTATCTAATCTAATAGTGATCTAATCTAATAGTAGTTTAATCTAATCTAATAGTAATCTAATCTTATCTAATAGTAATCTAACCTAATAGTAATCGATCTAATCTTATCTAATGTAATCTAATCTAATAGTAATCTAATCTGATCTAATCTAATAGTAATTTAATTTAATCTAATAGTAATATAACCTAATAGTAATCTAATCTAACAGTAATCGAATCTAATAGTAATCTCATCTAATTGTTATCTAATCTAAAAGTGATCTAATCTAATAGTAATCTAATATAATAGTAATCTAATAGTAATATAATTTACAGTAATCTAATAGTAATCTAATCTAATAGTGATCTAATCTAATCTAATAGTAATCTAATCTAATAGTAATCTAATCTGATCTAATCTAATAGTAGTTTACTCTAATCTAATAGTAATCATATCTAATAGTAATCTAATCTTATCTAATAGTAATCTAACCTAATAGTAATTGAATCTAA